TAATGCATACTTGGCGTCGTTCTTGTCGAGAGAGGCCGAGTTACCCACCGCTCTTAACCCGCGCGGGGCTGGGGTCTCCAGCCGAACGCGCGGGGCTGGGGGGGGGGGTAAATTTACCCCCCCCCCCTGTTATCTCCCGAACTAATGGTCCGATTTGGAAAATTCAAACGCCAATCGAAAGATCTCATCACGAACAACTAAAAACATGTACTTAATTTTAACCCGGCAGTTGCTGGGGTATTTCGCCACCCACCGTTTGCTGGGGGGGGGGGGCGTTAAACGCCCCCAGCCGATAACTCGAGAACCAATAGGCGCAGCGAAACGCACGAGGCGGCAAACGAAAGAGCGCGACGAGACGCTTCAGATGAGTACTTTAAAGTTGAATTTTGAGGTCACAGGTCGGGTCAAGGTCAGGTCAAACACCTGAAATCGGGCTTTCAGTAACATGGACTTCAGGGCTTCGCAATGGGCGCCTCTCGTCATAAACGTTGTCAAAACGGTGCACAATCCATCATATAAGGCCTACAAGAGTGTCAGCTCCATGTAGGGGTCAGTCAAGCATAGGTCAGGGTCAAGGTCAGGTCAACCGGGTAGGCACATATCCCCGAAAATTAAAACTGATATTCGCAGCCTGCGACACATGTTTTATGGGTAATTTAGGGCGTAGAACCCGATGGTGACATTCATTTTATCGTATGTGTACGTGTTTGGCTCAAAAAGTTCAATTTAAGAAATGTATGTATCATGGTCGTGAAGTAGTCGCGAGAAATTGCCAAGATTCAGTTCAAGATTTTGGAAAATGCAGAACGATAATCAATAATCGAAGATAGCCATTTGATTGTCCATGGTATTGGCAGTCTAATGGCGTTTACGGCATTTCTGTATGTCTATTCTGTGATTTTATATGATTTTTTGAACATATGCCGTTTTTGGTCGAAAACTCAGAAATCATGACGTCACTAAAACCTCGATATCTCAAAAATTTTCCAACCGATTTTTTTGAAATTTTGTCACAATAAATCTCAATCAATTCCCTACAGGTACCCAAATTTTGGCGCGCCTGCGGCGCGCCGTTTTTATGCTATGGCCCGGCGAAAAAAGTGGGGGCGTTTAACGCCCCCCCCCAGCAACTCGCGGTTAAGTTTGAGGTCAAGGTCAAGGTCAGGTCAAGGGTACAAATTGCAAGTTCCTACAGTATCGGCCTTGCACCGTAGTTGCCAAAGAATGGAGTCATGGACTGAGACTGATCGCCCAAAACGTGTGCTTAGGCTACCAAGACAATATTCGTTGCATACAATATCATTCAGAGGTCAAGGTCAAGGTCAGGTCAGGTCACCAAAAACAAAATATAGAAAAGGGCATGTGCGACACATGTTTTATGGGTCATTTTACTCATAGAATTCAATAGGCACACTCAATAAGTGATATGGACCACCTCTGGATGAATTTCAGGTCGAGGTCAGGTCAAGGTCAGGTCAAGTGAGGTCAAATTTTGAAGGTGGTTGTTAAGGTCTAAAAAGGTGTCTATCTGATGCAGTTTTTCACGGCGAATCGAATGGTGCTATTTTTGTTTCCGTACGAGGTCTACAACTTCCAAAAAAGTCATTTTTCAAAATTTTTGTGTGTCGTGACGTCATACAATTTTGAATAACTCCCACATTTTTGAACCGATTCTTCTAAAACTTGTTATGTAGGTGCAAATAGACCACTTCTCTGACATATATTCCGGTTTTTTCGATACACTCAAAATTTTGGATTTTATAGTTATTTTCCCAAAAAAGTCAGTTTTTTGAAAAAAATTGGGTCAAAATCCAAAATTTTCAAAAAACCGAGATAGCCATTTGATAGACAAAGTAGAATTACGTATATCCTTTTTTGTTACGTCTTGATTCCTTTAGAAATGAAGATGTTAGCGGCGTTTGAACTTTTGCCGTTTTTGAGGCGAAAATGGCGAACATGACGTCACTAAAACGTCAATTTCTCAAAAATTTTCCGACGGATTTCGCTCAAATTTTCAGGGAACGTGTCAAATTGATGTAAGAAAAGGTACTGAAAGTTTGGCGGCGCTGCGCGCCGCCGTTTTTGAGATATTGCAAAAATTCGCGAGGGGGGGGGGGTAAAATTTACCCCCCAGCCCCGCGTGGGTTAATTGACGATGCACATAAAAGTTTTGGCAGTTTTCTTTGTAGGCTGTAAAGTTTCTGTGTAGGGAAAGTCCCTTCTGTACATTGTCGACTAGCGTCATGCCAAAAACCTCTGGCGTACTTGAGTTTGGGGATGCTTGCTGATCACGCGACCTTGGGAGGTCACGTAACCTGCACCATAAGCCATGTCTCCTTTCTTCCCACCCTATGCGATTCTTCTGTCGTCAGCACACTAATCCTACCGACCAGCAGGCGCCAAGGTGAACCCAATGACTGCTGTTTCACTGATCAGTGACCGATCGACAACATCGGAGATCCCAGGTCGACACAACATCAGTCGCCAGACGGCTTTGAACCCGGACAATAGCTGCTGACTGCGGCTGTCGATCTGCCTCAGAGCTGCCTCTGCGCCGTGTTTTGGAGGTAGTTCAGAGAGACTGTACGAAGCTAGACGTCTCACGTCGTCACGTCTGCTGCGCAGATGATTTGATGTTTGTCTATTGAAGCAAGACTGAAAGCATTGTCGGTTTTCAGTTGCATCGAATCGCTTGATCAGTCCCAGTGTGGGATAGAAGCCTCTGGGAAATACATTTAGGCATGCCTTCGTCCATGTGATGATGATGTTAGCATCAGTAACCGTGAAAGGTTACTTCTAGTCCTCGCAATGATGGTCCGAAATTGATGTCTCTTAATGACTAATTAATGCACCCCTCGATCACTCCCAGCCACCCATTAAACGCTCCTTGACCTAGAACTAGCCCATCTCCTCCGGCGGGCCAGTGTGTTTGTTTGTTGCCCGTACCCCGTGGCTCGCTCAGCGCGTCTGAACTGACGGCTGCACTGTCGGCGCACATCAGGGTGTCGCCGCTGAGCGGTTGAGGAGACACGCGGCCAAACAAAGGCCGCCGACCGAAGCGGCGCGCTCGGTCGGAGGTGTCACCTCTGAGGCCCGGGCCTGTCACCTCTGCGGCCGTGGGCATGTCACCTCTCCGGCCCGGCCCCGTCGCCTCCCCGGCCCGTGGCCAGACACCATTGTCGGCTGCTCCCGCCGCTAATGCCGCCTTCCGACGACGGCTCAGCGGGGGAGGGGGGGGGGGGGCGTACATACGTACCCATGGAGTGACGAGCCAACTGGGACCGAGGGACAAAGCCCAGTCACAGGGGAGCAACTGGCTGGCACACAGTCTCTGACGACTGGGAGATAGGGCGACACATTTATGATGACCATTATTATGTGCATCATGTAGGTTTCAATTTATGTTGCTATAATGTCTGTACTTTGCACAATGCACTGTGTAGTGTGCATGTGTGCAATTTATATCTGATGATGCAATTTAAATACGTTAAACACCCACTGTCGCGGTTTTCCGAGAAACTCGACGAAGCCCATCCAAGTAAAGATCAAACGGCGTGGCGCTGGCGCGGTGTCCGGCTGCGTCTCAGCCAATTAGAGCAATGTTGATACATGTTATGTGGCCGGGCGGTGTCGGGTTTTCTACACGTACGGACCGCCGTACGAGTGTGTCGTCTCGCCACTGTGCGTCTAGCATCCGACCGGTGTGTTGGGCACGTATTCTGTGACCGGTACCGGCAGTCGGGAGCCGATAGATGAGCTCGTTCGCAGCTCGACCCGCGGCCGTTCGTCGGTGAAGGGTCGCCACTAATCGTCGGCAGTGGCCATCGTCGGCAGCGACGAACAGGTGCCGCGGCGGCCGACGATCCTCGGTCAACACAGGCCCGTCGCGGTCACAGAAATTAGCGCCCCCAGGGTAATTGGAACAAGAAGTCTCAGCGCGCTTCTTGTGGCTCTACCAACACAGTTGAGTGTTTGATTTTCATTAGCTTCAAGCTTCAAGAAGAAAAGAAAAGTGGATGAAGAATATGGCATGGAAACAAGTCATTAAGCGCCTCCAGTCGACCACACAGTCGCTGTCAGTCTCGTGATTAGCATCTATCAATATTCAGACACAGTTGTGAGGTTGGTGTGGTCACAAAGGAGTCGGCACGCTACCACTGCACCGGCCGCGTCCACAGAGACGCCGGCTTGTGTCTTTTGTCCGTGCCCCGTGGTTTGCAAGGTCAAAACAGCTTTTGTCAAAATATCAGAGAACGAATCCGATGAGGATTGTAAACGTGCTTAGGTCATTCAATGTCGCAAAAGTCATAGCAGCAAGTAATACCGGTCTCATTTCCCATTGACCATTGTTTTAGTATGGTAGGTACGGGTGGCGCACACTAAACGTTTTCCTGCATATTGTCCAATCCATCTTTTGCGTGCAAAAATAACCGCCTGTGCTGTCCTCCAAATCCCATATCGCTCCGTTATATTCGCTCAGCCGGGGCGGGTTTTATCCTCGGCACTGGGGCCGTCTGTAACGGAATAAGGCGTTATTGGTCCCATCTGTGCCGTGCGCTGGAATCGATGCTCAGTCGCGGCCCGGGGCCACTGGAAACATTAGGTGGAACGGCCTGCACCATCTCGGTCACGGCGGGCCCGAGAGAGGCAGAATGTGTACAGGGGAATGAGGAGAATGGTCTTAGGCATAGAGAAATGCACTGCTTATATGGAGCTTCAATATGGCATAATGGTCATTCAGCATTTATCTCAGTTGCTATCATCAGTCATAACTAGTTTTCATCAGTTACGTTAAACGCACACCACTCAATGGAATGCAAGGGTTAGATGCATTGATTTGACGCGTCTGAGTATGCTGTCCGCTTGCCTGCATGCCGGTACTTCTTAGCTCATCTTCTTGCATGTAATCTATCGTTGGAAAAAACCAATTACACACAAGTCGTATTCAATGAAACAGTTATCACTTAGTGTAATATTCGTGTATAAACTCAAAATAAAACTGCAATGTGATGTAGAATTTGTATCAACACAAAGTAAGAAACAGAACAAATTGTCTTCGGATCAAAGTTCTTGCTATGTAACAAATTTCATCCTGAAACAAGACGAGACATTGATCAGCACAAATAATGGAAATTAATATAGCCAGAAAATTTAAATGACACATATTCACCAAAATAATCCTTACTTCATTGCAGCCAAAATTCAAAATATGTGGACCAAGAAGTCACGACAAATCTTGCGTAAAAATTCAAACATGATATTCTCGTGCGATACTCTTCATTCGCTTTTCGCTATTGCAGTTCTTGCAATACACTCCCCCCACGAATCGTCATCGTCATCATCATTCGACATCGTCATCTTCATGTGATTCAAGTAGAAGTACAAGACGATGCACAGAACGTTTGACTATGACATCGGGCTGGCCATTGTACTTCCTTGCATCGGTAGCATTTCGGGGAGGTGCTTGGCTTTTGTATCGCAGAGTGACGTTCCTGACTTTGCCATCTTGATCGACGTGCACTTCTAATACTTCTGCAAATTTCCAATTTCCTTTGAGAGCATTTGTATCTTGGATCAGCACAATGTCTCCGATCTTCAAATTTCTTCTGGCAACATGCCATCTCTGTCGTACTAATAACGTCGAAAAGTAGTCACGCTGCCATTTCTTCCAAAACACTGTCACTATTTGCTGTATTGTTCGTATCCTTTTGGTGAACCCTTTGGACTCATCCCAGTTGCCCTGGGGAACAGCTATGTCCGATCGTCCCAACAGTAGGTCATTAGGACACAGATAGGTACCTAGCATTGGGTCGGCTCCAGGTTTGTGTCCTATGGGCCTTTGGTTCAGCAAATTGGCAGCTTCAAATAATGCAGTTTGTAGCTCTCCGGCCGTTAACACGCTGTCTCCAACGGCACAAACTAGCGCTCTTTTGACCAATCGTATCAAGGCTTCACTACATCCGTTTTGCCATGGTGCATCGGCTGACCTATTGAATGTCCACTTCACGCCCTCTGATACACCGAATTGACAAATGTCTTCCCAATGTAGAGATTTTGTCATCTCTCTCAGTTCTTTGCTTGCGGCTGTCAGCTGCGATCCTCTGTCTGAATGAATTGTCGCTGGGAATCCACGAATAGTGACAAAGCGTCTGAAAGTAACAAGGAAGTCATTTGTTCCATAGCCATCAACCAAGTCCAAATAGACTGCTCTTGTCGCCAAGCAATTGAAAATGATCCCATATGCTTTTGTTTTCGTCCTTTTCTTCACCGTATCGCGGATCACAAAGGGCCCAAAAAGGTCTAGTGCTGTATGATGAAAGGGAGGCGACGACTGTAGTCTCTCTGGTCCCAGCTCTCCCATCATTTGCGTTTGTAACTTTTTGTCAAGCTTTCGGCATGTGACGCACTGGTATTTTACTTGTTTGATGACTCTTCGTGCCCCTGGTACCCAAAATTTTCTTTGAACTTTAGCCATTGTAACTTCTATGCCGGCATGGTCCGTCGCGTGTATATATCGTATATAGAGTTCCGTGAACCGGTGGTTTGCAGGTAGGAGGATGAACAACTCTTGGTTCCAATCATCCTTTAACCATTTCTTCATCCGCTGGCCAACAACCAGCAAACCATCACTATTGAGACTGGGTCCCAAGCGTTTATATCGGTTTTCCCAATCGGTGGTAACCAATTCTCTTTGGGCATGCTTCACCCAATGTATTTCTGCTTCCAGTAACTCTATAGCTGTCGGAGATTCCAAAGTTGCTCCAAACGTCTTTTGCTTCTTGACTCGAATGATGCGTGCCGTGACTCTGAGTAACTTGATGTAGCCGTTAAAATTTTCGAGCTTCACTACGTCTCCAATATCATAATTTTCGAACAGGTTTGTCACTTGAGCGATATGCACCCCGATACGATCAGGTAAATCCCGTTCTTGCACTTGCAGAGCCTGGCTGATAGGCCATTGCTCGATAGGTAGCGACAGGAAAGCTGGTCCTCTTTGCCATACAGATTCCGGGCCGATTTGACATGGTCGGGTGGGCCTGGTCAACATGTCCGCTGGGTTGTCAGCAGTTGCTATCCACCACCATTCATTTGGTTCCGAGTGATTTTGAATTTCTGCAACTTTCGTCGCGACAAACGAGCCAAATCCATACGATTCCTTTTGAATTTGAGCCCTCACGATAGCAGAATCCACGACATGAATAACAGTTTTGTAAATGAAATTCATTTCTTGCTGGATTGTTTTTCTCAGTCGGCACCCTAGTACTGCACCACAAAGTTCAAGACGGGGGATAGTGAGTTGTCTTGTTGGTGCTATTCTTTGCTTGGCCGCAATAAGGCGAGTTTCATATTCACCGGTATTCAGTTTCCATTGTACATACGCGCAAGCTCCGTATGCTTGAATACTTGCATCAGAGAAAATAATCAGTATAGGTTCACCAACAGCATTCTCCGGTCTCAGACACCGAGCAAATGTTGTTTCCTTTAACTTGTATAATTCTTTGAAAAACTGTTTCCATGCTTGTTTGCAACCATCTGGTATTGGATCATCCCATCTTATTGACGTTGCTTCCGTGCGACCTTCAGTAGGTTGTGACACCAGATTTCTCAGTAAGATCTTAGCAGATAGAGTTACCGGTGTTATGAACCCGAAAGGGTCATAAATGCGCGCTGCTTGGCTAAGAACCATTCGCCTTGTAAGAATTTCTGGAAATTCTTTATCAAAGCTTTCTTCGGTCAAATCTGGTCCTGTTGGAATTTTGTTGCGTTTCGGAGAAAAATTTATTTTGACTTGAAAAGCAAAATAATCATCCTTTGGAAGCCAACGCATTCCTAATATCTTTTCTTCATGAACGGTTACCATCTTGACACTTGAAGTTGACGCTAGGCTGTCATCACCGGACATGATCCAGTGCTTTATGTTGAAACCACCTTTCTTCAATATGCTTTGCACATTTTCGGCCAAACTAAAAGCATCTTTCTCCTGAGGGACTGACTGAATCAAATCGTCAACATAACTATTTCTTATTATCATATCAGCGGCTTTTTCGTGTGTGTTCCTGTTCAGTTCCGCAATTGTTTTCAAAGCTACCATTGATATCGTCCCGCTTGGTCTGTCGCCGAAGGTAACGGCTAATAAAATGTAATGAGACGGTTCTCGACTGCAATCCATATCTCGCCACAAGAAACGATGCACGTGCTGATCCATTTCAGCTAATAGAATGGAATTGAACATCTTGCTAATGTCCGCTACCAAACCAATGCGCTCTTCCCTGAATCGCAGTAATATGCCAAACAGATTGTTGATAAAATCCGGACCCTTTGCCCAGTAGTCGTTTAAAACGTGGCCCATGAATGATGCCGATGAATTAAAAACAATGCGCAGTGGAGTCGATGAAGAATCTGGTTTGATCACTTCATGATGTTGTAAGTAATGTACGGGACCCGTGAAATTTGCTATCTCTTCATCTGATAATTTTCGAGCTATTCCTCGTGTAATCATATCTTCCATTTGCTTGGCATAATCATTTGCATGTTCTTCTCCCATTTTGCTTAGTCTTCTTTCGGTAGCTTTCAATCTCGCGTATGTAGCTGTGAAATTGTTAGGAAGTTGCATTGGATCTTTTATCCACGGATAGTGAGCAATGAATTTTCTTTGATCTTGATCATATGTTAGGCCTTTCTTGATAAGTAATAGTTCTCTTTCTTCCTGTAAACTGTAATTTCCGTTGCCCGTGGCGCATTTTCCACACTTACATCCGCCACACCTGGGTGTGCAGCACGTCCCGAGATTTTCTACTGTGAAGTACTCATCTAATTTCTTCTTCAAAGTGGTGATTGAGTCAATACGAATATTATTGACATCGCAAAAATTCATGACAGTGTTGGATTCATCATTCTTCATGTCAGATGACGTGTTTCCTGCATCAGAGTGGACGCAACCACGTATACAAAACCCAAATTGGTTTCTCAGTAATTGGATATTTTCTATCGTTTTGACAACTTCTGGTAGAAGGACGCAGCAATCCGTCCCAACAAGCATATCAACTTTACCGTGTGGTCTTTGGATGTCATCTGGTCGAATATGAAACATGTTTGCAATATTGGTCATGTCGATTTCCTTTAATTCTGCTGTAATCTCTTCTATTCCATATGCATGGATTTTCCAACATTTTCCGTCTTCGTCATATAGAGGAACGACGTATCGTTTAGTGGTCAATACCTGAGATTGATTGCCAATTTTCGTGATCGATAATTCAACCTCTATACCATTGAGATTTAATGTAGCTGCAGTTTTCCGATCGATAAGTGACACATTCGCTCCGGAATCCCATAACACCGCAATTTTTCTCTCGTTGCATATGACATGGCTAACTGCAAGTAATGGCTCTTGTGTTTTCCTTCTAGCCATGTGAATCGCATTGTGATTTGTGTTATCATTGGCTGGAGCTCTGTCAAGATGTAGATAGGGATGATGGCGCTTGCCGCATTTTTGTCGCAGATGATTTAGTTTGTCACATTGATTGACAAAAGGACATGCCATGGCTATATGTCCTTGCTTCAAACAATTAAAACATACTCCATTTTGTTTTAGACTGCAAAGTTTCTCTTCATGACTTGATTTTAAAAATGCGTTACACTTATAAATTGGATGTGCGTCTGTCTTGTGTATCCAACAAATCTTGTTGTCGGCACTGGAGAGTTGTTTCTTTTGATTGGGTTCGTGGTTTCGTTTCGTTCGATCGTTAAATAAATGTTCAATGCGTTCGGTCATGTTTTGAACTTGATTACATAGTTGAATCATGTTGTTCTGAGAATCGTTCGTTTTCATTTCGTTTGGTTCCTTGGAATCGTCGTTCGTTTCGCTGTTCCGCTTCGCAGTATCGACTTCAACGTTATGTACTGTTTTGCTGGTGAATTTCGATTTAGAAGCGGTTGGATTTCGTACGTCATTTTCCATATATTCTATTACCCTTTTTTCCTGAAGTAAATATGATAAAAGTTTTAGAAATATCGAACCGCCTGGTGCATCTAAATGTTCTCGCCGGTCCAGTAATGTGACCCATTCCCGTTTCTGCGTCATCGGAAGTAGCCTTTCTATCATCGTTACCATTGTTGTTGTGTCCATCTCATTTCCCATTCCCATTCTGTTCAGCTCCAACCAGTTCTTCTCTACTATATCCACCATGTGAATAAATTTAACGTGGTCTCCTTCAGCGATAGGTCTTAACACTTTAATTTCGTGTATGATTGAATCAACTAATTTTCGTGGCTCCCCGTACTTCGCGTCTAGTCGCCGAAACATTTCGTCAAAATCGTCTTCTATTCCTCTGATCGTCTCCAATGCGTCGTCCGTTAAACATTGTCGTAAGGCATACGCGTCTTTTCCAAACTGTTTTTTCATTAGCCTATCAAAATCTTTCTTGAAACTGGAATATTGCCGGATATTGCCAGAGAACTGCGGCGCATTTAGAGGTTTGACTTTTATTTCTGAAAATTTAGCATGTTCCTTTTGATTTTTAGTTGCAAATTGCATTCTGACTTCATCCATGTTTGCTTCAATATCAGTCATATATTCGTCACTTTCTTCCAATAATTTATCAATCAAATGATGTGGCCCAGTTTCATTAATTGCTGCGTTGACAAAGTCGTTACACTTTTCGAGTTGGCGGTACGAGTCCTTTATGTCTTCAAATTTTTCTTGGATCGCCATTAGTGGACCATCCTTTTCAATCATGTCGCGGAAGCCCAACATTTTCCTAGTAAACTTCCTTTTTGCGTTTCCTCGTTCTTGTTTCGCTGTTCGTATGTCCTTCGTTGTATCCGATGATCGTGGTTCCTCCTCTTCCTTCTTGTTCATTTTTGGTAATTTTAAGTTACTTTACTCAAATTACGTTATTCTTAATCAAGGTTTGTTCAAGTTTCAAAGAAGTCGTTATGACATTGAAGATGAAATGTAATATTCGTGTATAAACTCAAAATAAAACTGCAATGTGATGTAGAATTTGTATCAACACAAAGTAAGAAACAGAACAAATTGTCTTCGGATCAAAGTTCTTGCTATGTAACAAATTTCATCCTGAAACAAGACGAGACATTGATCAGCACAAATAATGGAAATTAATATAGCCAGAAAATTTAAATGACACATATTCACCAAAATAATCCTTACTTCATTGCAGCCAAAATTCAAAATATGTGGACCAAGAAGTCACGACAAATCTTGCGTAAAAATTCAAACATGATATTCTCGTGCGATACTCTTCATTCGCTTTTCGCTATTGCAGTTCTTGCAATACACTTAGGAACATGTTTGTATGTCATGTATCTACATATTTCCCTGCAGACAGCATTATCCAAGAAATATGGAAGATATAAATCATACATAGCTCACAATGCTTGGGTCCTGCGCACATGTATCCATCAAATGCTACCGATGCGCCTTGGCACGCGACTACACGATTCTATTTGTGCAGTTGCTCGCGGACCCGATAACCTATTGACCCACCGCCTGCCGTGATATCCAGTGTATGTCCCGTCAACGTCATCCTCCGAGCCCTTGATAGGCTTCACAGCTGCCCTTGACATTTTGGCCACGCCCTTTAACGGTTTACGATACACTACAGAAGATACCGTAAACTCTATACGCTGAGCTTATCGCTTGAGCATGAAACCTTCCTATCTCTCCATATTGCAAGCTAGATCCATTATTTTTTTGATATTCACTTGCATTTTCAATGCACATTACCCATGAAGACAAGGACAAAGGACTGCTACCGCAGGCCGTTGGACTTTGCCGTCCTGAACGCTTTCTTTTTGAAACGCATCTTTCGCCGCCACTACCTCATCTTCTGTGCCATCAACAATATCAGGGTACTGCGAGTGCTCTCTCACCTCTCTCAAATCCTGCGCCATCACCTACCTTGGAGTGTTTCATGTCCTGGCGGCGCTCGACGCCATCCTCGCCGCTGTAGACGAGGTTGCGCACCTCGCCGGTCAGTCGCGGCTCGAAGCGCGCGCTGGGCAGCGCCAGCTGGCTGACTCGGACCGACTGCGGCACGCCTCCCACATACACGTGCGACTGGTTAGCGGCGGCCACATCGAACGTGAACTGGTCGCCGCGCGAGAGCCGGTGCTCGGAGATGTGGTCGACGGTGAGGGTGGTTCGCGCGTGGTGCCGCGCCACCGTTACCCGGTGCCAGCGGCCGTCGTTCAGACCCCGGCCCAGTCCCAGGATCTCCGAGCCGCTGCCGAGGTTGTAGCGCAGTCTGAGAGAGCCCTCGACGAGCTTCACCTCAAAGAAGTCCACCCAGCCGCCGTCGTCCGTGTAGAGGAGCAGGCCGTTAGGCTGCGTGGTGCGGAACTCGAACTGCAGCGAGCCGTTGAGGCCGGGCTGCCATCGGGGGTATTGTGCGAACGAGTGTTCGGCGCCGTCCAGCACGATACCGAGCCCGAGGCCGAGCTGGAGGCCGACCAGGGCGGCCAGCAGCGGCCCGGCGAGCACCCCGGCCGCCATCACTGGCACGGCCGCATCGATTCCGGGCCGGCCGGCCGCGGGACAGTCCGGAGAGCGGCGGTCCGCTCAGCGGCCCCCCAGTCCGCCCTCCGCCGCGCCGCGGTCCGCCGCGACTCGACCTCTGCCGCCGCTCCTCCGCCTCCCTCGTCAGCACCTTCACCGGGACACAGAGCGACTCGCGCACTCGCCGACGTCCCGTCGCGCGCCCGCGGCACCCCTCCGTCGTCGTCGGCGCGCGCCCGGCCACTGGCGCCGCGTCGACTGCGTCGCCGCCGTCGGCAGCGCTCGGTCGATACGGCGTCGGCGCTCCGCACGGAAGAAACGCGCGCGCGGACTCGAAGCCCGAGCTCTGTTTCG